AAACTATGTGCTCTTTACACAGAGTGAAATTACTTCAAGTGCACATTAATTCAAATGTTGTGTCAGTTGCAGCACTGCAGGTCTCGGGGGCAGGTTAATGCACCCCAACACACTAATACAGTAACGGACAAGGCACCCGACTGCAAAGTGCCACAACACAAATGCCATGTGTCGTGGTGTGCTGCATTTTAAAGAAAGGATCATGTACGATTTGTGCTGAGATGTGATGTGTTAGTAGCCCGTTCCAAATGCATCGTCTGCCTTAAAGGAGAACTATGAGGTGAGTGCTTTTCACTCACCTCATAGTTCTAGCCGACCTGTGACAATGAGACTGCACAGGTCGGCTCAGTAGATCGGGAAGTGAGCGAACACATACCGACGTTCGCTCACCTCTCGATCCTGTCACAGCTCTCTGCCGTGACAGGGGAGGGGCTGGATTCCCCCCTCCCCGCTCCGATCGGCCAGCGCTGACTGGCGGAACGGATGGGGGAGGAGGTGTATACAGCTGGTTCTGCCTCTAGATATACCGCTACAGCTCACGGTATACTGAGCCTAGGATGATGGGAGGACGCTAGTTTGTGTCCTCCCGTTACCCTAAGGAGAACTATGGGGAAAAGACTTAACCCCATAGTTCTCCTTTAATGTAACATGTGTTCATAAACGCAGTGCAAAAGTCTGAATCCAGCGTTAATCTTTGGCCTTTTTTTCTCTGAAAGGTAATCAGGTTATTAGTTTGGACTATCCTACTCTGTATGTGTCTTTTGCTCCATTTCTGCCATTTGGGTCAAGTGCAGGTATTTTTTTATTTATGTGGTAAGTCAATATAGCTTTACACAAGCGAACAAAGAAAACAATAGCAATGTACTGTCGGTTTTGCTAAGGAATGTAGTTTAGCAATCAAAAGTGTTGTGTGACACAAGATGTTGTGTGAACTGTTCTGTATTTTATTGATGTTAAAGAGCCACATAAAAGTGTATATTTTCAGTGTATTTCTTTTCGTCTTTGGCTAGAGAAGGGATTTCCCCTCATATTGCAGTGATTACCTCACACTTCCTGTTGTCTCCTAGGCAGCAAGTAAAAGGAACACAGAAAACCTGACAAGAGTTGACCGTTTTCTAAAAATAGAAAAATAATAATTTTGCCTAGAAATACATTTTAAAGCTGAGCTCCAAAAGAAACTTTTAGGCAAAGACAATTTTGGTTGCCCTAGAGATGAGTTTATGAACACAACTGGTTGTAGGTTAAATCCCTGATTGAGAAGTTGATTGATAACAATTGGTGCTAAAGGTTCAGCACCACTATACTGCATGCATTTCTCCTCCATGCATACTGAATCTAATTAGAAGGAATGTTGCTATTAGATATTACCTTGGAACGGGGCTGTCACTATAATGAGGCAGCCTGAGGCTGTTTGCAGTGTGTCTGCTGCCCCCATTGCGGTCAGAGTGTCCCAGGTTGCAAAGAGCCAGGTGGGGAGATGTGTAAGGACCATACACATCTACCCATCCAACTCTAAGCAATCTGGGACTCTCTGGCCAGTGTCCCGTCCAGTTCACTGACATCACTGGTTGCTAAAAGCTGGCTGGAACTCCAGCCAAAGCATCCTGCTCAGCTCCTGGCAACCAATGGGATGCTGGCTAGAGTCAGAGCTGGGCAGTGAGATGATCCACCCCTACTCCCTATTGACATGCACCACCAGCACCATTCCCCTCAAGAATGTGCACCACAGTGTGTCTACGACACCCCCTCTTGCAAAAAGTAATACCTTCTATTATCACTATAGATGCTGCTGGTACATAAGTGTGCCTGCCACTGAAGCTTATCACTTATCCTGCCACTAAAACATCTAAACACTGGTCTCACAGTATACACATACAGTATATGCTCAGATGCTCAATCAATGTACTCCCCTTAGAAAATCTTACCTCCCGATCTACTGAGCCGACCTGTGACAGTCTCATTGTCACAGGTCAGGTAGAACTATGAGGTGAGTAAAAAGCACTCACCTCATAGTTCTCCTTTAAAAAGTTCTCCTGAGTTGGTACCTAACTCCAGACAAAATAGCCAATGACTCAAATCTGGTTATGTCTAAAACTTGACATATTATGGGCCAGAATTTTTGGGTTGTTCCAAACCTTATTACACCACACTATCAAGGAAAAAAAAGCTTGGTTTGCTCCACTTCATGGGAGAGTTGAACCCCGGATCAGGTCACAACAAAACCTAATTAAACCTAATCTTAAGCTACATAGACAATCTAAAGAGTATTGCAGAAACAACCATTTAGCTGCACAGTATTTAAACACAGTAGATAATATTATGGTTAACAAAAAAATTGTCTAGGCTATTGTCTGGTACACGTACCAAATTTCATAAAATCTAAAAACCCTGGATTACCTAATCCCATCTACAAATGAACATATCTATCCATATGAACACCAATAATATCCCCTCTCTTGAATTGGGAGAATCTAGACATCCAGTTGCTTTGCAGTGACCTGACCCCATTTCTTTTTTCTTTTTCTCCTATTCCTTCTACTTTGCTTAGTTCCCTTTAGTTCCCTTCTCTCTTCGGCCTCATTCACACTGCCGCGCGTATACGCGCGTACGTGCGTATTGTACCATATGCAACATATGCAAATAAATGGCTCCATACACATAGCCGCTTATGGAGCCGTATATTTGCATAGCGTATGTATGCGCAAAAACAGAATAGAACCGAGATGCGTCCGGGCAGTGTATTTATGCGTATTTTACGCTCGTATATGCGTACAATTTATTCAAATTTCCATTAGGAATGATGCATTCTGGGAATGCAAATAGTGCACGCATACACGCACATACGCTCATATCTACGCGCATAGACACTCGTACATACGCGCATATACAATTTTGCTTGAGTTGTGTGTGAATGAGGCCTTCCACATCGCCAAACTGGATTATCTGCTTCATAGTTGATAATCATTTTGTAGAAGTCTGTAGATCTCAACAATAAGTCTTCCTCTCCATTATCAATCCAGTGTGAAGGCTCATGGCGTCACGATCTGTAACAGATACTTCCAACATGTGGTATACACAGGATTAGGCAATGTATTATACACTGTTTGACTACTACTTAACTTGTATTGTGTTGTTGTACACTTCTAAAAAATAAAAAAGTATGGAAATTGAAAAAGCTCATACTGGGGACTCATTCTATCCATTCAATGAAGAGAGAAATGCATTGCTTGAGCTCCACACGACACCACCCGACAGACAAATCCTAAACTCTGTAACTGCACTAATTTACCAAAATGCTGCCTGGACACCATAGGATGCACCAAAAGAAACTCAAAAGCAGTAAGCAAGGTGTGATGCTTCTGCAGGGATGACCAAGGTGATGACTTCTGCTGCACCAGACCATACAACTTCCACTGAGCAGGTCGCGACCAATGTCCTCGACAGAACAGTGAACATCTTGAAGGCTATGCCTGAGGTCAAACTAGACCTATTGCTTCTGCAGTAGGACTTCCAGAACCTTTAAGGCCAGGTTACAGAGGTTAGTTCTCACAAAAAACAAAAAAAAAACACCTAGATGATTGCCACATATGTATGCTACAGTAGTGCTACAACACATAGGCTAAGCTGCCGAAGGATCTAGCAAGAAGGATAGGAGCAAATAAAAGTTCATTTTTATATATACTTTAAGTGATGCTTGGTATACTTGGTATTGATCGTGCAACCATTAGCAGCTGCTTATAACTTAATCACAGACAAATACAAATGTGGACTGCAAGCATTACTTATTAACTGCTAAAGGTGCCCATACACTGCACGATTCTCGTACGAGAATCGCGCAGTGTGAATGAAGACGTGCGACCGTTTCTACTGTACAGTCGCACGTCTTTTGTCTAAGGCGCATGCTAGAAAGCCAGCCGAAAATCTTACGATTTTCGGCTGGTTTGAACGGTGCTCGGGAGACAAATGCCGAACGGGTCGGTGGTTCATATCACTTGTTTTAGGGCTAGACCGCCTAAACCTAAAATTTCACTATATCACTTGGTTATACTAAGTTTCATATTAGTTACACCTTTAGCGCTTTGATATATATTTTTCTCGATGGTTGTAAAGTGTATGGCCCCCTTTACAGTAATCATACCATAAACTATGCAGATCTGCTTCCTATAAAATAACACTACAGGCTGATTTACCAATGGAGTTGGGAATCTTCAAATTGTGTAATTATTCACTGTAAGCATTTTGAAATGAAATAAGTTAACAGGAATTTGATTTTAACATAGTAGGATATTTAAAGTGAATATTTACACAATTTATTGTTTGAAGATTCTCAGCTCCTATAGTAAATCAGTTTCTAAGGGGCCTATTCACAAAACTGGCAAAGGATCTAGCCGTAGCTTTGGCTGATCCTTCGGCTAGCTTCGGCCCCAGGACCCCTTCGGTTCACTAGAACCGAAGGGCTTCTGAGATGCATAGAGATGCTTCTCAGGAAATCGGACGGACAAATAAAATAGCCTATGTTGTTCCATCATATAACAATATATTATTGTTGTCATCAACAATATTACAATATTTAGTAAGAAGATAGGCAAAATGGGTGGTCAAACTGGGATTTGAGGTTCTACACAATATATGTCCTTAAAGCATAGAGTTCATATTTATTGTTATCATTTTTATTAACATTCTTTAATTTAAGCAAAAGTGTATGCATATTCTGTGATCTATTTCAAGTCAACCTTCATCCTCCCCACCCTTTTTCTGCCATCTCACCCCTCTGAGAATCAGGCACTTCTTTTACTACTTTTCGGGGAACCCTCCCTGCACTTCCTGGATTCTCGTCTAGGAGAGAATGTTGAATGCAGTTGACCACAGCCTCCTGGGATACCCACGTCACACATTAGAGGAGGCCGCGGGGTACTCTACTGTGTATATGTCACGTTATCAGGGGGACAGCTGTCTCTTCTTGTTTCTGAAAGTAGACCCCCCAATACACGTTGTAGCGTATGCACGTCGTCAGGGAGCGGGCAGCAAGAACCTGGAAGTTACAGCCTGCTTCTGATGACTTCGCAGAAGAAGATGGTGGTGTAAAGCAGAAGGGAATTGGATCCCTACAGAACACCACTGTGTATAACCCATTGAAAAAATAAGGGGACAATAGGGTAGATGGTGGGTGGGGGGGAGTAAAGTTCCTCTGAAGTATTATTATTTTTGTTTTCCTATAATAAATAAAAAGAAGAGCATCCCCTACTCAGAAGTTGCTTTATAAATATTGTTTTCACTATCCCCAGGTCAGCAGTATAGTATCCCTTCAAATATCATACCTTGCCATCCCTGATTCAGCAGTTCTCCTGCAAAAACCACTCTGTGTCTCCCACCTGCAGCTCTGCAGCACTTACCCATGGCATACCACCTAATTGCATTTGCAAAATTGTATCCCCCATCCCCAACTCAGCAATGCCTCTGTCCTCCACATTCCCAATTTTGCTTTTACTTTTATTATTCAATGTATACCTTTTGTCAGTGTCCATGAAAGCTCTAAAGGTATTCTTTACACCCATTCTGCAAACAACGCCCTTAATGTCAGTTCTGTAACCAGTCCACATTCCATGAATTGTCTAAACTTCATCTGAACTCTAACCCACAAAGCCTTGTCCGTCCTTCCCTCCCAGATGTGCAATGTATTTCATATCAGGAAGTAAGTGCCGTGAGAGTAATAGTTTTCCTGTATTTGCTATGTTAGGCATTATATGTGCACATATGTTCCTAATGCACTTCTGCTTGTCAGTCCCTTGAAGTAACAGCTTGCTATCGCTACTCGTCCACAGAAGGCATCATTGAGAGGAAGAAGATCTATTATCTTGGACTGGATTTTTGATGTGTGTGGGTTTTTTTTCTTTTTAAGTTAGAGTTTTTTCAACTGATTTAGCTGACTTCAATCATTAACTTCCTCTTTGTCTGAAATACTAATACTTCTAATAGAACCAAGTACAGTGTTCAGCCATTATTACGATGAGGACCTGGATCGAGCCAGTGGTTGCTGGGGCACAGGTTGCTAGCTCTTTTTATGACACAGCTTTACTATTTGTGGTCAAGAATTACTATAATCGGACTACTACATCCTTAAACACATCTCATTCAGTCACGCTACAGAAAGCCATATCAAACTTCTATATCATACACAACCTCATTTTGGGACTTACCCCGCTGCTGTCAGCGTATATCCTTGCAAGGATCGGAGACAGACAGAGAAGAAAGGTCACAATATGTGTTCCATTGCTTGGGTACTTTATCTCCAGGTGTTTTTTGTTGCCTGTCCTCTTCTTAGACTGGCCTATAGAAGTCATGTTTGGCTCTGCTGCTCTGAATGGTTTAACTGGCTGGTTTACAACCTACTGGGCTGGGGTTATGGCTTGGGCAGCCCTGGACTCCACTAAAAAAAGACGATCCCTCAAGTTCATCATTATTGAATTAGTGTATGGATTATCTGGTTGTGTTGGCAGCTTGGCTTCTGGGCACATCTTTGTATCAGTAACAATATCTAATGATCCAGGAGCAACCCTAGTTATATGCAGCGTTTCCCTTTATTTTTTATGCCTAATATACAGTTTATTTATTTTAAAAGTGCCTTATGATGAAACAGAGCGGTATGGGAATTCAGGTGAAGGAGTGGATGCAGAAGAAGTCAGTCATGAAAACTCACCTGAACCAACTGAGCGTTCCAAACTACTGGGTGAAATAAACAGACCATTTGAGGACCTCCCTCCTCAGACTCCAGCCAAACTTTTTATTGCTCTTCTCTTTGCTACTGCCATATTGTACAATATCTCGGTGGATGGAGGAATGGACGTACTTAATTTATTTCTAATTAAAGAACCTCTAGGGTTTAGTCCTACCTTCATTGGTTATGCCAGTGCTGCTGGTTATTTGATATTCATCACTAGTTTCTTGGGAGTTTGGATTTTTTCCAGATGTCTTAAGGATGTAACTCTAATTATAATGGGCATAGTGTCCTTCTGCGCTGGTATATTCATTATGGCATCTGTACGATGGACTTTCTTGTATTTTGTTGGTAAGTTTAACAGTTACACATTGAATCTGCTAATATCTTTTCTTTTTCTTCAGGCATCTGATCATTGCTGCATCATTTTAGTTTATTGTTATTATTATTTATTTAATTGCCAGTGTCTACTGAACGTATCCCAGTTCTAAACAATTCCTTTTCATATTTTTGTACAAAGTGGAGAGTCAAAAAAAAATTCTTGTTATTTGCACACTTTTTACAGACAAAAAAAGTGGGTTTTTTGCAATCCCTGTCCTCGAGGTTTGTGTCAGGACAGGAAGTGATGGGAAATCTCTTCACTGAGCATGCAGAATTAAGTAAAACACAATTTGTGTGTATAATTAGCAATAAGCATTAGAACAGAGGTAAGAAAGCTTGGCACTCCAGCTGCTGTGGAACGACAGTCCCATGGAGCATTGCAAGGCTCGGATATTCATAGGAACAATTAACAGAGGCATAATTGCATTTATAGTTTCACCACAGCTGGAGTGCTGAGGTTGCCTACCCTGGGGTTGAAATATCTATCAGGTTGTTATTACTTAACCCTTGCAGTGTGGGGATAGCCCCACTGCAGGGGTTAATTTTTTGATTGCCTGGAGTTCTTCTTTGGCTTCAGTTCCAGATTCAATTCAGTGTCCGATGCTTTATGGAAATGCAGCATTTTCTAAAATATTCATTTTCAAATAAGAAAGAATAGACATATAATTTTTTGGGCTGTACTAGTAAACAATAATCATCAGAACATTTTCTAGACACAAAAGACTGTACAGTCAACTATAATTCACAGAATTTATGGTGCGAAACTGATACTTCCACTTTTCCCTTCCTCAAATATTACAGATCATGCAACAGGCATGGTTAACCTGCAGGAAAATCTTGACATTATGGTCTGGCAGTTGCATAGGAGGCCTGGCCCACAGATCAGAACTTATTAATATTAATAATACACATATTTGATGCAGATGTAGTTATAAGCCACATTAGACAAAGCCCCTTTTGGGAATTAAAGATATATTGTAGCTCACATATTGTTCCTGAACGTGCTTACACGTAGGGGCTGATGTATAAACATGATGTATAAACCTTCCACCCAGCATAAAGCTGGGCAAATGCTGTTTACATGGCATTACCGCCACTAAATCGTACCATCAAATGGCAATAGCTTTACTCTGGGTGAAAGGTTGCTGCATCAGCCACATTGTATTACTATTGTGCTTATTTGGGAATTACATCAGTAGTAGCTGACCAATCAGAAAGTACCAGCAATAGTGACGTTCCTTGGTCATGTGCGATGACCAATTTTGACATTGGTCTTAATTGGGTTCTGCTGTGTAAGACTGTATTGAGTCCTTCGTACAGGGCCGGTGCAAGGATTTTTGCCTACACAGGCGAGGGTGCATTTTTGCACCCCCACCCGCTTGTAACAGTACGAAGAACCGCAAAATATGTTGAGCAGGACCATAAACTAACACTAACTATTCTCTAACACTGACTGCACTCCCTATTCACTAACACTAGCTATTCTTTAACACTAACTGGTTAAATAATCCATAGTACAACTACATGTTATGTACTATGGATCATGATTGAACCTATTCATGTTAGCAGCGGAGAATTGTAAATCTATTGCTGGAGTGTGGTGGAGGTGTGTGCTGTATATATGTACTACATATACATTACACACGTCCAGTACACTATAGCAATAGATTTACAGCCATCCCCGTCCCAGCTTCCCTCACTCACAGTTTCACTCCGATCCCTGTTGCCTCACGCGGTGCCTCTTGTAGTCGTTGCTGGGCAGGATCGCTGCATCGCGTCTCGGTGCTCAGCTTGTGGGAGGCGCTCACAATTCTGCCCTGCTAACATGAATGGGTTAAATCATGATGCATAGTACATATACAGTACAAATGTCCTGTACACTGCAGTAATAGAGTTACAATTATCCCCTGCTAACATTAATAGGTTAAATGATCTGTAGTACAACTACATATTTTGTACTATTATGTACTATGGATCTTTTGACCTATTCATGTTAGCAGGGGAGAATTGTAAATCTATTGCTGCAGTGTACTGGACGTGTGTAACGTACATGTACTACGTACTACATATAGAGTACACTGCAACAATAGATTTACAATTATCCTCGGCTAACATGAATGGGTTATATTATCTATAGTACATAACATGTAGTTGAACTACAGATCATGTAACCCATTAATATTAGCAGGGGATCATTGTGAATCTATTGCCGGCAGTGTATTGGGAACGTGTACTGTATATATGTACTACATATAGAATACACTGCAGACAATAGATTTACAATTATCCTCTGCTAACATGAATGGGTTAAATGATCAGTAGTACAAGTACATGTTATGTACATATTATGTACTATGGATCATTTATCCATTCATATTAGCAGAGGATAATTGTACATCTATTGTCTGCAGTGTGTACTCTATATGTTGTACATATAGAGTACACACTGCAGACAATAGATGTGCAATGATCACCTGCTAATAATCATTAGTTCAGACCCCCCCTTGCCCGCACTCACTACTAGATGAAGGTGCCTCGCTGGTTGTAGTCCTCAGCGGCTCGCTGTGCTGGAGAGCAGCGGCGAGTCAGCGCTGGTCCAGTGGGAGGAGCTCCAGGTGGGGTCCTAATTTAGCTGGCCGGCGACTGCCTGAGGTGCCGCGCATGTCGGGATCCTCTGGCAGTCGCCGGCCAGCTAAATTAGGACCACACCTGGAGCTCCTCCCACCGGACCAGCGCTGACTCGCCGCTGCTTTCCCGCATCGAAGGTAAGTGAAGAAAAAAAAAACAACGCAAGCATCGGGGCATTTTGACAAGTTGTCAATATGCCCTGTTTTTTCCGCCCTGACCCTTCAGCGCCCTTAGGCGGCCGCTTGCCTTACCTTGCGGTAGCGCCGGGCTTGCCTTCGTAAACCCTCAAAGAGATTAAAGAGACTTTATGATACATCCCATGCATTCCTGGACACTGATTTAAAAATACATAATTTGTATTTTCTAGGACACAAATATATGTTGTAAATATTAATACTGAATGCTGTGCTTGATTATTTCATAGCTCGAGCTGTGATGATGTTTGCTTTAATACCAATGCCAACAATAAGGTCTGTTTTATCGAAACATATACAAGGATCATCATATGGTGAGTAGAACTGTAACATAATATTGCTTAGGAAAACTTGGAACTCATTCTGTCTGATCAGGTCTGTACCTGTGTGCTGATTATTAAGAGCACTAGGTCTAACTCTATTGGAATGCACAATCATTTTTTTTATTGGTGGTGGTTTTAACTTTAATAATGGTATTTGAAATGGATATGTGATTTTTATCGTAGTATGCCCTAATTTTAAAGTGCCAAGGAATTTAATTTAGTTCATACATTTAATTTCCATGTTGGAAGTGGAGATGTAGCATTCTGAACCAACCATGGCACATCGGGGAAAGGCATGTAGATTAGTGGGTAAAGCTTACAGCTTGGAGTGTCTGGCTATACTGTGGATTGTTCTGATATAACATACTTTATATGTCACTGCCTGCTGCAGCTCTATGTATTCAAAGTCTGGGATGGAATGCTTTCATACATAGAGATGATCTGTCTGAGCTGCACCTTTCTCCTTTTTAGCATTGGAGTTCATTGAGCTCACTGTAACTTCCCCAAGTTCAGCTCATTACTCATTTATAGTGAGTAATCAAACATTTAATAATCATACAAAGCAAATACACCGCTCACATCCACCTCCACAGTCCAAGGATCTAATCTGCTTGTCGGCTCTAGGGGCACGCCACAGCCTGACAGGCACTAAATCCAAGTGTAAAAAGGAAATCTGAACTCCAAAAATAAATCTTACATACGTTGTTTAATCCATGAGCATAAATAAGCTGTACACTGTTACGCAACTTTAATCTCTCACGCGTTCCACCATTATGGCTTGAGCACAGAACTCTGTGCTCAAGCCATAACGGTGGAACGCGTGATAGTGTGAAGTTGTGTGACAGTGTACAGCTTATTTATGCTCATGGATTAAACAACGTATGTAAGATTTATTTTTGGAGTTCAGATTTCCTTTTTACACTTGGATTTAGTGCCTGTCAGGCTGTGGATTGAGGCTTTCCTTTTTTTTACATGAATCAAACATTTAATGCTGAATTCCAAGATTAAAACAAATACCCTGGCAATGGGGTCCCACTGCACTGCAAGGGTTAAATGCTTTTTAACTCTAGAGGGGTAAAGGAGTAAGCTGTAATGTTTACCTTATTCTTCGCTCTGGCCAGCATCCATCGCTTACCTCTTCTCTCCGATGCTCCAGGTTGTGACGGGCCTTCACCATCAAGGAAGGACTATTAGTCCCACTACACAACATTGACCTGCTGCATCCATTGCAGCATATGTGGGCCTCTAGTGACAGTGTGTCATAACAGCAGCACTCTTTACTATTTCACTGATAAAGCACATTGTCCACATGGCTGCTATGAGCTCACCCTTTATGGCCCTTCTACGCCAGCTGACCTATGTTTAAAAAAGCCATGCTTTATGGCTACAAATAATTTGGCCTAGTAATTTCCCACATAGATTTGCTGGAACCGCCAACCTGTCACAAGCAGGGTTCCCCTCAGAAACCCATGGTGGCAGCGAAACCGAACCTCATTCCTAGTAGTTCATCTCATCATATCAAATATTTTACAATGAACAAATACTGACATTACTATTATGTGAATGAGCAGCATAGCTGAATTAAATGTTTTAGTTTGTATCGGTAAATAAAGCTCTTATTCCTAAAAGTTAAGTTTAAAAGTAGTATTCTATACCAGGCAATCAGAATTCAGGGTGCTGAAGTCAGACCAGATGTATGCTGATTGGTTCCTATGGGTAACTGCACTGAAGAATGATCAATTTAAAAAAAAAATACATTTTATTGAATGAGACCAATGGTTTTGTACTTTATCTTTCATGCACTGATGATACTTTTTCTTCCCAGGAAAAGTCTTTGTTGTACTCCAGCTGTCAATAGCGATTACAGGGGTTTTGACATCAATTGCATTCAATAAGATCTACCAAGCCACTTTAACCTCATTCAGTGGAGCTTGCTTTATTATATCAGGCATCCTTTCCATTCTGAGCATCATCCCCATCAGGTGAGCACTGCATGCACTATAAGTAACATAAGGCAATTTACCTCTCGTATGTAATATAACAATTAAATTTTTAGGGGTGATTTATATATGCCCCTCTCATAACTGTACATAACAAGACTTTCACATGGCTTAGAAAGATTTATGTGCATATGCAGTATCCATAATGCATATAGCAAGGGCGAGAGATTTGAATAGTTTGACACATTTAAAAAAATCACAGGAGCCAAATGAAACACAAAATGGTGTTTTCCTTTAAACTGTATGTAAACCCTAACAATGAACTTCTCCTTTTTATTCCCTTTTGGTCTGTTAAATACGTGTTCTGTTATATCTATTGGTTAAGTGCCAAAACATACCTGTTGATCATGTCAGAAATTCGCAGCTGCCCTGTGTTCTCTGCACACCTTTTGTCTTATCTTAAAAGGAGAACTATGGGGTGAGTGAATAACACTCATCCCCATAGTTAGAGCCGACGTGTGACATTGAAACTGTTACATGTCGGCTCTAAAGTTCAGGAAGTGAGCGAACACATACCGTTGCTCGCTCACTTCCCAATCCTCTCCCTGCAGAGAGTGGTGACTGTCCATCACTGCTCCCTGCAGGGATTCCCCCCCTCCCCTCCCCAATCCTGCAGTGCTGGCTGGAGGAACAGACAGGGAGGGTGTGGGCACAGCTGGCTCTGCCTCTAGATCGGCAGATCCCACTGTCATGCTGGGCACACACCTTACAACCATCGCAAGACTTTTGTCTTGCGATGGTTGTAAGGTACTTAAAAAAACGCACCATCTGCCTATCTTGGACAGGCAAATCATACTTGCGATGAACGCAAGCCGCGCCCCCCTGAGGGGCGAGCTTTCGATGACCGCAATGCCGAACGGGCAGTGTGCGCTTGAGCATCACTAAAGAGGAAACTAGGAGCTGGGTGCATTTCTGCCAACTCAGCAAGTATTTTCTTGTACTTGCTAGGTTTTAAAGGGATAAAACATGGGGAAATATACATGTATTGCAGAGATGTAAAGCACATGCTTAGTTTATAATTTTCCCTTATGCTAATTTTGCATATGCTTTACTGTAAATTTATGAAGCAATTGCTAAACATCTAACAAGTATCTCCGGAGACCTTGGCAAAATATTGTTACAGTACTCTATTAACTAGACTTGCCACTCAGGAAAGCTGCTTGATACTTTTTTTTAATTTCTTGAAAAAATGCCTGAACCTGATAACATAAAACATACATTAGTAAGTAACCGAAAGGTTCTCCAGACCAAAGAAGCTCCCTTAACTTTAGACTGGTGAGCAGGTTAATAGGAAATGCAAAAAGTCAAATTATTAAAGGGATACTGTCATGAGAGATTGATGAAGGTTCCCATTACCCAACTCTCATTTGAAAATGTTAGTTTGCTGGCCGTCATTCTAATACTTAGTTAGTCATGTTGAAAAAAGACACAAATCCTTCAAGTTTAACTTATAAACCCAGACAGTGCTGTCTAAGTCACTGGCCCAGAAAGAGAAAAATAGTTCTGACCCTTTTCTGAAACTCATTTACAGCATGCTTGTTCCAGGAGTGTGACTGAGACATGATGAAGTCATACAACCAGGCATCTAGCATTTTTTAGAGGGACGTCAGCAATGGAAGCCCCTATACTACTCTTATGACAAAGTCTCTTTAGGTATGAGGGCTCATACTGCTGAACCTTTTCGAAGAATACCCATTGCCTGACTGTCTCTGGCTTTAGTATTAAGTCACTTACCTGAAACAAGCATGCATATTAAAAAAACTGTGAAGTAGAAACTCCCAACCTCCAAAAACCTTCCAAGTCAGTGGCTCAGAAAATTTTAAAGACATTGGATCAGCGTGACTGCCAGACAACTAGCATTTTCAGATAAAGGAGTCAGCTATTGCAGACTCTCTTTTTTTTTATTCAGTACATGTTTCCTTCAAAGGAATGTGAGGGCTACCATTGTGGACCACCCTGTACAAAAAGCTAGTTTGCTGGCTGTTATGCTGACATACTGGCACAAATATTTACCGACTTAAAGCAAGTATGCAAATAGGGAAAGTCAGTGAACAGTTAGAAGTCTCAATGCATGCCTTTCCAGAATAGTGTTGAAACCAGAAGCTCAGCCAAGCAACTGGAATTTTTGAGGAGGAGAGGTCAGCGATGGTGCCTTCCATGTTTTTTGCATGAAAGGCTCCTGTTAACCTAAATGGTACCTCCCAAAAAAAAAAAAAAAGCTTATCATGTCATAGTTTGAAATCAATGTTTTTTTTAAAGTGATCACTTTCTATTTTATTTTTAAATATTTAACCAAGCATGTTTTCTTATCCTCTTTTTCAGCGTTGCTGCCTTTAAATATTCTTCGCTATTCCTTCACGCCAGGAGAGGATAAACACAAAGCATAACACTATAATGACTTCTGTTCTGTTTATCTTGAATGTTATATATATATATATATATATATATACTGTATATCTGTATATATGTATTTATTTTTGTTGCATAATTATTTTGACAAAGAGAATAGTTTATTGCCTCTCACCTCAAGGGAGCCTCACATTTAGAACTTTTTACCTATGTCGCTCTGATGAAGGGACCCTGCGTGGCCCCAAAACATTGGCTGTTTGATACATGTGACCCATTTCTCTAATAAATGAACACAAGGATTTAAGATTATTCTTTAAGTGCTGGTGATCTTTATTCTTATCAAGGTCTCTGAGCAGTCACGGTAAATATATACACTGCAAGCCACAACTGACTCTATACGCTTGGGTGGAGCAGTTTTTTCACATAATGTCAGTTGTACTAAGATGCATAATTGTAATTTTAAAAAATCACATAACATGTCAGAGAGTTTTGGTGTAGTATGTAAATCATATTTAATTTAGTGTCCCCATTCCACTATCTACTTGAAAATCCAAATCTGAGCTTCTTGAGAAAAGACAGCCTAGGTCTTCTATTAGGTGTAAAGAAAATCAAAATCTCTAAAAGAAAGGCATCCATAGGATGGATTTGTTTCATGATGCATGTGGTATATTTTCTCCTTGCCCCTAATAGGAGGCCCAGGCTGTATTTTCTTCAGGATGATCGGATGGAGATTAAGTAGCTGACTTAGGGTTGCCACCTGTCCAGGATTCACCCGGACAGTCCAGTTTTTGAATGCTGTGTCCGGGTTTCATTGCAGCAGAAACCTGGACACAAGATGTCATACAGACAGGGGCAACCAAAATTAAGATAGGGGATACTGGCCCCCCACTGGAAATAGTCTCAACTGTGATATTTACATGTGATTGGGTGGCATAATTTACATATAAATAAGCCACTACCTTTTCTCCCCCAAAAAATGTCAGCGCATTGCTAGGTGTTCAGGTTTCGCTTGAAGAAAAGGTGGCAACCCTAAGCTGACTAGTATCAAATTTTGTGCCCCCATTCTATGATTTACATATGTGGCCATTGCAACCAATGTTCAGATGTGTTCTTCCTTATCTACCCAGATTAGAGACATGACAGCTTGATGGTTTTATTTGCTCAGATGGTGCCTGCTGCAGTGGCCATCAGGACAAATGGAGAGGGTGAATTTTCCCTTTGTGACACAGACATGTAAAGCTAAAGGGGGGTCCTAACCCTTCACCACTCCATGCCAACAAAACTCTTTAGTGAATAGAGTTTTTTTGAAGCTTAAATGCTCAGGCTCAGTGTCAGAATGCATAATTTAACTTGACAATGACTTTATGACTAGTTAATGCAACATGGTTAGTGGGAACTAGAAACGCACAGGGGTGCCCATTTCAAATTCTCTGCTGCAAGGTTATGGATGATGTGGGGATGTACACAGAGGAGTGCCTCCTGGTGACTGAAATTGTTAAGCCAGTTCTCAAGTCCCAGATACCAATCTGCACCGATACCGATACTAGAATAATTTCCAATACCAAGTATCTGGGCAAGTACTGGTACTCGCCCAAATTCTCTGATACTTACCCCAATACCTGAACTTCCAGTCAGAGGGAAAGTCCTGTCTCCCAGCTTCCTGATTGGTCAGGAAGCCAGGCTGCCTAGCTACAAGTGAAGCCAGCTGCCTAGTCAATCAGGAAGCCGAGTGGCAGGTCATGACTTGCAGCCCGGCTTCCTGATTGGTCAGGAAGCCAGGTTACCTCGGAACCTAAAGCTGGTGTTTTTTCGATAGAACACCGACTTTCCAAGCAATCAGGGTCATGACCCACCACCTGGCTTCCTGATAAGCCGGGCCAACAGTACCCCGGGATGCTGGTAAAAAAAAAATTGTACTCGTACACGATGCCGAAAAAACGGTATCTTTGCATCCCTAGTTGGTACCCACAGGGTTTCTTACATCCAACTGGCTCTTATATTAAACTTCTGCTCCTCTTTTTAGCCCCCTAGCCTTAGCAGCAGTAGTAGCTTTTGCACTTCTCAAGGCATCAATATCCAGTTGGTTCCAGGGGGGAGTAGTGAAGGCAGCTATTACTCCAGAGGATCCAGACAGGTGCTCTGAATTCAAGAGGAGCACCCAAGAAAAACTATTGATCACCTCCACCAATAAGCTCCCCCTTCCCAGTTCCTAAATCACCACCATTGCTACCCAGAAGAGGCCGCTAATACATTTTTCCTATAAACTGGCTGTGCAGTCTCCTATGTCTCCTGTCATCTGCGACCCTGCCGCAAAATCATCTACTTCACATGCATAGTACTTTAGCATACATTACACACAGGCCCCATTCCCACTGAGCGATTTATCGAGCAATTTTTCCAGCGATATCGCTCATATTTCCACGCGATATCACTCTATGTAGCTTCTCCAATCCATTTGAATGGAGCTGTTCACATCTCGTCGCTCAATATCGCTCAATATCGCTAAATATCGCTTGTAGCTCCTACATGACCCTTTTTTCGAGCGATTTTGCTCCTGATTGCATACAGCCCAATAGGAGAAAGTCGCTCAATATCGCCCAATATCGCAAGTCACTCAATATCGCTCAATATCGCTCGTCGCTCAGTGTGAATGGGGCCTTAGGCTTGTTCTTAAAGTTCAATGCTTTGCTTTATGAACCGCAACAGTCTACATTATTGGGTATAGAGATATTTATTTTAACAGGAAACAAGAAACTAATCCAAATAATTGGTTCCACTGTCCTTTCAAAAAGGTAGTATTACACTTACATTAGTCTCCTTTAGAGGGTGAAGAGGGTCATTGCAGTGCCCATTTGTGCAGAGCACATTTTGTCTACATCCAACTGCATCCCAAGACCAGCTCCGAGGCCCAAGGTCTCATATTGGAGGCCCACGCTCTAAGAGGCCCAGAATGGAGACTATGAACACAAACCTTCTTACATGGTAACTTGCCAGACTTCTCCCTGAGTTCTTTCTGTGCTAGAATGCTAGAGAGGAACATTACCTGTTCATTTAACTGTCCCCCAAACAGTTACTTTGAAGGTATGTCAACTGTCAAGGTTGCCAGTGTGCTTATATCCGCTCTCAACGGCACTTTCAAGGCCTCAAATAGCTGTTGTCATATGTGCAACACCATGGCAGCTGCAATCCAAATAGAAGCTAAAATGGCACTTTCCTTAGCTGTAAGGGCTAGGGGGGTGTAGTTCCACTTTAAATAGCTCACTAGCACCACCTAGGGTACATTATACTAAAAGAGGGAACAAAGAGTGTTACAAAGTGTTCAACATTCTCATGGAATGGGTTAAACATACATTTTCATGAAAATCATGAAAGAGAAAAAAATTGATGTAAACACCTGAAACAACATTGACCATGAAGCAGAAGAATATCATCAACCTATGTGCATATCTAGATATTTCTCTTTTGGTGAATAAAACTCTGTGCTCCTATCCTATCTATAATATCTAAGCTGCCAGCAATAAAATGAATATATCATTAAAAAAACAACAGCAATCAGTGCAGTGCTATAGTTTCACCCCTAACCCATCACATACAATAACATCAATAGTGTATTTAAGAACATACCTACAGTAACATATAAACATTCAATCCAAAATCCCCCTGAAAAGTCCACTTGTGATTATCTCAAAATATCCATGAGTATCAAAGACTCAACTTTTGAACACAGACTTGAACTCACCTTCTTGGATGGACCTCAACTAAATTATGTTACTAAGGTCAAAAGGGCTAGTTACCCAAGCAAGGGTTAATCATCATAGCCCTCCTGAGAGCCTGCACAGCCCACTCGAGTGCCGCACAGCCCACTCAAGTGCCACACAGCACACCTGAGAGCCTGCTGAGTCCACTCGAGAGCCCACAGACTCTACCTCAGAGCCCGCACAGCCCTGGTGAGAGCCCACACAGGCCACCTGAGATCCTGGGACATCAGGGTGCCACCCCAGAACAACACAGAGTATGTAACCTCATATTACTTTGTATTGCTCTATAATGTTTTGCTGGAATTTGTAGTCCTCTAAAGACAGTCTCCTTACTCTTTCTCTTGGCTTCCTATTCGCCAAAAAAATGGCCGTGCAGGGTGCTAGAGGGTTCGGGTTTCACTTGAAGAAAAGGTGGCAACCCTACTGTATCCTGATCTTGAATCGTAGTACTGTCTTGAGCTTGAAACCTAGTCTTGCCTTGGGTCTTTAATCTTGTACCTGTTTTGTTTCTTGTATCCAGTTCCTGTCTTGTATTTCTTTCCTGTTCCTGTCTTGCATTCTGTTTGTCTTGTACCTTGACTACAGTCAATACTTCTCCTTGTTCCTGGGGACCACCTGCGACATTTATGGCCAGAATGTATAGTTGAAGTCCTGGGGGCATGCAAGTACCAGTAGGCGTATATTGCTTTATGGGAAAGGCGACTGCTACCGGTGAAACAACCCGCAACTATACACTCTGAACAAGGTGTCTGCGTACAGGCCTGACAACAGGATACCAAAACTTTAAAACACCAAGAAGCAGCATCATTATAAGTGATTTACTTAGCATAACAGCTTAATAAACTTTTAACTTTAATATAACTTTAAAGGAGAACTATCAGGTGAGTGATTTTCACTCACCTCATAGTTCTAGCCGACCTGTGACAATGAGACTGTCACAGGTCGGCTCAGTAGATCGGGAGGTGAGAGAACACATACCGGCGTTCGCTCACCTCTCGATTTTGTCACGGCTCTCTGCCGTGACAGGGGAGGGGCTGCATTCCCCCCTCCCCGCTCCGATCCGCCAGCGCTGACTGGCGGAACGGACGGGGGAGGGGGCGGGTACAGCTGGCTCTGCCTCTAGATAGGCAGAGCCAGCTGTCACTCACGCAGCTGGGCGGATCCCGACACAATTGTCGGAATCCGCTTCAGCTGCGGCGTCTCAGTATACCGCGAGCAGCTGCTCGCGGTATACTGCGGCATACTGCGGCGTCTCAGTATACAGCTCGCTGTATACTGAGGCTAGGGTGACGGGAGGACGCTAATTTGTGTCCTCCTGTTACCCTAAGGAGAAGTATGGGGAAAAGACTTAACCCCATAGTTCTCCTTTAAGGCTATTACTTTTGATACAAGGTACTTTCTAAAAAGGTGTGGTAACTACTGTTATCTTCCTTGTTCCTCATACCATGCTGTATGTATTACTCATACACGGCAGTACCTACTTCTCCATTTAGAACTGCCATTTCCAAAAGTCTAGCAAAGGAGGAAGTTTCACATTAAAACCAGTTTTTTTTTCTCACATGACTGCCACTCATAACCTACGACAAAGCTCCTCGGATTATTTCGATTTTTCAGATCAATGCTAGATGCTGTTTCCCTGCTTTACATTTCAGAAGAAGATAAGAAGAAACACAAAGATTCAAAGTTTGTTTGCAACGCTTTTGCAATACATTCACGGTGAAATTTAAACTTTACTTTTCTTCACACAATGGAAAATGTAGGCTAGGTTAAGGACTGCTGGTTAAGCTTGGCTACAAAAGAAGCTCCAACTATGAGTGGGTGTACAGTCATCTGAGAAAGACCACTAATTTATGAATAAAGGTTTTCAAATTCATAAAGATGAGGACCTGGGTCGAGCCGGTGGTAGCTGGATCCCAGTTAGCCAGCTCCTTTTATGAAACTGGTTTACTTTTGGCGGTAAAGGGTTACTACAATCAGACAAGCACACTATCGAACAGTTCCAGCGAGGATATGCTGCAGAAGTCCATCTCTAATTTCTACATCATATACAACCTTATCATCAAGCTGACCCCTTTGCCTTCTGCCTATATTCTGGCAAAAATAGGAGATAAAGGCAAACGAAAGATTGCTCTATGTGTTCCACTTGTTGGGTTATTTATATCCAATTTATTTCTCTTGTTTGTAAATCTCTGGGACTGGCCCATACAAGTCATGTTTGGCACAGCTGCTTTTAACGGCTTGTGTGGTTGGTTCACAGCTTACTGGCCAGCGGTTATGGCATTGGCTTCACTGGATTCCTCCGCTAAGAGAAGGTCACTCAGGCTTATTTTCACGGAGTGCACCTTTGGCTTGGCTGGATTCATTGGAAGCCTAATTTCTGGCCATATATTTGTTTATCAAGTTGCAAATCACCCAGGCATACTTTTGGCGTGCTGCAGCCTTGCAAGTTATACTTTTTGTCTCTTGTATGTCGCTTTTATTTTGAAGACGCCTCATTGTGAAGTTAATACAAAAGAGGACACTATGTCTAGAATAGCTACAGCCCAAGCTGAAGACCAGGCAGACCGAGAAGAAGTTCCTACAGAACGCAGCAGTCTAATTAATTCATCCAGTGAAAATGCAACACACGGGCAAACATATATAACTGCATCTTTTTCTAAAGTAACTATTTACCTCCTGTTTTTGAGTGCTATCTTATATAATTCTGCTGTTAATGGTAATGAAGATGTCATCAATTTTTTTGTACTAAAGAAACCACTGAGCTGGGGCCCAGTAGAAGTCGGCTATGGAAATGCTGCAGCATACATGATCTTCATTACTAGTTTTATTGGCGTTTTTGTTTTCTCCAGATGTTTACAAGATTTGAGTATGGTTATTTTTGGAATGTTTTCATTTTTTGTTGGGGTTCTTGTCATGGCTTTTGTACGTTGGACCTATCTTTATTATGTTGGTAAGTGAATGAGTTAAAGAAAACCTATAACTATTCATTTAATTTTGCATTGCAGTTTATTTCAATTGTATTTAAATATTCATATTTTGTATTTGTTTAGCTTTTGGCTCCTTTTCACAATTGTAGCCTTACCTATTTACAGCCTGTTGTTTGCAGGCACTCATCTTAGTGATACATAGCTGTGACCCATCCCTTATCCAAAAGCTCAGTCCAGGTTTTTATCAGATGAATGGAGTTGCAAAGCAAGCTGCTTTTATATGCTTTTATTTACTCTTTATCTAAAATGAAAACTTTATGGTATTTTTGAAACTGTTTAATTATTTTTATATATTTTAGCCAGACTTGCCATGATGTTTTCTCTGATCCCTGTGCCAACAATCCGGGCTATATTATCCAAAGCCACAAAGGAGTCGACTTATGGTAAGGGGAATGTAAATGATATAGTTCTTATGGCTCACAACTACATACTACAGTCTACTACATGCATACATCACTACAGTCTCTCATCAATATGATTAGTGAATAATAATTTACATATTCATACTTTTTGTTATGGTTTTCAATTACATTACGTCATCTGTCAAAGTTATAGTCAGGCCCGGCGCAACCGCAAGGCAAGTCAGGCGGGAGTAATTTGGTGGAACAGGGTCCAGAAGGCAATTGGTAATTTGGTGGAACAGGGTCCAGAAGGCAGATGGTTAGGTGGGAGTCTGAAAAACATTTAGCAAACTCCAATGTAAAAGAATGTATTAAAAGTGGACGTTGATCTGGTATGTTAGGTGAGGGAGATATCTGGACAGCAGACAATGGATATCACATTACGAATTGCATCAATCTTGTTTTTGAAATGATTGGCAATCCCTTGAGCAATGAGTGAGTTAGTTGGTGGAGGTAGTGGAGAATGAAGAAGAGAGGTAAAGGTAGAAAAAGGTTGATGAGGAATGGATGAGAGGGTTTAAAAATAGGTTTGTTTGGCAGCATAGAGACAGGAATGATAAATTAGGGGGGCAGATTTATATAAGGAGACGTTATGCAGTGATTTAGTTTTGCGCCATAGTTGCGCGGCTCTTTTGAGACATTTGGTGTTAGTTTACCAGGGTTGCAGTGGCCAAGGTTTTTTTGGGGGGGGGGGCAAAAGTGTCCAGGGAGGCTGAGAGTGAGCTGTTGTAGACAGAAATGGCCAGGTTAGGACAGGACAGGAGGGAACAAAGAGAGGTAAGTATATCCTGCTGGGTAAGGGCAGGGACTTCCACAACTTTGCTTTAAGAAACTCTAGCATATTATTTTGTTTAGTTCTGTGGACAAATAGCTAAATGACAATTGTGTTTTGTTTTGATTTTGTGTTTTAGGAAAAGTCTTTGCTGTGCTTCAAATGACCATGGGAGTTGTGGCTGTGGCCACATCAACAGCATTTATTGCAATATATCAAGTTACTCTCGACTGGTTTAGTGGCTTCAGTTTCATTGTGATCTCTATTGTTACCTTTATAAGTTTTATTCCAATCAGGTAAGAAACAATGTAGATTTGTAGATTTATTGTACTGTTTCACCATTATATCATGTACCCAAAAAGGCCTGATAGAGAATGCATGCACGCCGCCATATATGATTTGCAGTACGTCTGTGCTGGTCAAAACACCCCTGCACCAAAACACAGGGGAGGGAGGTCATATGAACATATTACTAATAGAGACCTGGTCTGGGGCCTT